AAACGACCCTCAAAATATAGGAGCAAGGAACATGTACAAGGAACTGCTCTTAAAAAAAAGATTTCTCCCTCTAAAAAAATTCCTTCTTTGGAAAGTAATGAATTAATATGTATTAGTTTTAAAAAAAGGTATGGTTTGTATAGAGCCTAGGCTCTAAACAATCAAATTAGAGCCTACCTTCAAATCATAACGAGAAATATGGTTTCAATACTGGAAATCTTTGTGATAGATTAAAAAGATTTCAATACTAGAAATCTTTGTGGTTTCATCTTTATTTATAAAGTTTAAAGCTTTATAAATAGTTTAGATCGATAGATTTATGAAAACTTAAAAATCTTGAAAATTGACGATCCAAAAATGCATTACAAAATATGCTATTTTCAAAACTTGAAATCCATTTTTGTTTCTCATGTCCATACATTTTGATGTCAACATGATCAATTTGAGAATATTTGGGCATCAAAATGACCTCTTTTAGTGAAAGTTTTGTGGTCTAATTTGATTGTTTAGAGTCTCAGTTCTATATAAACTTTTCTCTTTAAAAAAAAAGGGTTGAATAAAACAAAAAATTCCAGAAAAGTACATTTGAGACCCCAATTATTAGTTTTTATTATTTTATGTTTTCAAATTAAAATTATAAAACTATTTTGGAACCGATTTTCACATTGAAGAATCGATCGAATTTGCTGAACCAAATTTGCAAAGAGTCAATTTGCCAACCTATCCTATTATTGAAACACTCATTGGGAGGATTGAGTGCACGCATTCTCTCTAACCTGTGTCCCTTTCCTCACTTGTACCCAAGCAATGAGGTGCCATTTAAAAGTGGGGCACGATCAGGTTTTCTCGCCATGCTCATATCATGCAGCTTCCTGCATTGTCCTGTACTTGTGTCACGAAAACATTGTTTCATGACTCAAGCTTGGATGAAGCCATTGTTCGCAAAATCGCCCGATCTAACTACTAACTGCCCGGCTAGATCAGTTTCGGTTTTGGGCAATTAGGGTGATCAACTGGTATTTAAAAATAAAAAAATAAAAACATAAAAAAATGTATATAAATTCTAAAAAATAAGGAATTTGATTTGTAATGCATTTTTAAACATTCTTTACATTATGGTAAAGATTAAAAATTGTTTTGGTCATTAATACTCACTCTTATATTTTTCTATCTTTTTTAGAAAATTTTAAAAAAAGCCATTGGAAATTATAAAATGGGTTAAAATCCATTTTTTTCATTAATTTTCAACTTCATTTGAATGTGTTTTATTTAAATCATCTTTTCATATTTTAACCGTTCCGGTTCGCTTTTGCGAACAATGGGTGAAGCGCATTTGGAGCACCAATCCTTCACCTTTTTTTCCCAATGTTAACTTCATTGATGTATTATTTTCTTGTAGGGCACCAATATTTTAGTAAACACAACCACTCTTAAGCTCTCTCTTCTCCAACGTTTGAATACTCGGTGATTGATCTAGATTAGAATTACTGATCCAAATTGGGAATCAGAAACTTAATCAGTATTGAAAATGAATGCTTGCTCCCTCACTACCACCCATTTTTTTAGTCCCCCTAAACCCACCCCCTACCCCATAACCCCTATTTTTTTTAAAAAAAAAAAAATTTTGGACCATGATTCAGACCAATCCTTGAGGATCTTGATCACCGATGTGGTGTGGATAATCCACCCCACTCATCCTTGTTTTCAAACACTGCTATTCTCTATTGAGCAATACCAATCCATTTTCTATGAAAGAAAAGAGAAAGAGGCTTTTGAAAGGTGTGTTTAATTGAAGGAGTAGGTTCCCCTATTATATATTGGAGTCAGAGGTAGGTTTGCCATTTTGTTTAGGATTCAATTTAGATGGTTGATCTGCGAGATAAAAAAAGTCTATCGTTCTTTAAATTAGTCATCATGATAGAAGAAAAGATCTTGAACCTTTATCCTTTAGTTTCCCTCACCCATTCCCTTTTAATCCATAAAGGAACATGATTTATCCAATTTATTTGATTTACCCTTGTCTTAAAAGCCCTAAAACGTTTTATCTAGTATCAATAAAAAAACCCTTAACCACGGTGTATAAATAATGGTGATACAATGACAAAGGAATACAACTCATATACCATTTACATTATCAGCACTTTCTTGTATATTATACATGAAATATACACTAGCCTCAAAAAGAAAAATGGCAATATTTCTTCTGTTTGGCCTTTCTATAAAGTAGGAGTATTGTATTTTGTTTCTATTGGGGCACATGGTGGGAAAGAGCATAGGAAGCTGTTCTGGTAGGAGTACTGAAAGTACTAGTAGGAGTACTGGTAAGAATTGAGCTTAGGACATACTGGTAAGAGTACTGGTAGGAATTGAGCTTAGGACGTAGCATTGCAAATTGTCAAGCGCTAACCAATTAAGCCCGGGCTCTTTTTCTAGGAGGGCTTTATAGTTAATTTCAATGAAATGCACTTCCCAATTCTAGGACTAGAGGAACCTATTGCCTTTAGACATCAGTGGCTTGCCTATGTAGTGGTTGGACATGGTGACATATTCTATGTTATTTAGCCAACTCCACTCCTTTTGAGTAGTCATTTGATGACATTCAAACAACATCCAATACACTAGGGCAGCCCATAATTAGAGAACACCCCTTTCAACTCCTCTCATAACTCCTCTCTTTATGAGCTGATTTGGCCCATAATTCTTTTTTAGACCCAGCAAAAATTCAAAGCGGCCTCAACATGACATTCATGCCTTTGAGAATGAACTCTTTTAGTGTTCTGTCTTAATCTACTGTATCTAACTGAATGAGATTTCTCCCACAAAATCCAGGTATGCTATAAGCATCCCAAGGTGTTGAGACCAAACTAATTGTTTTTTACCCTAAACAGATCTCGCCAAACGTGTATTAGAAAGAGGAAGCATGGTCTCCCCAAAAATGAAAATATTTGATTTGTGCTTTTTAACCCAGAATAAAATTTGTTCCATTCTTTTGACTCCCCCCAATCCCCCTCATGTTCTAAGACAAACGCCTTCTTGGTGAACGAGCTTGAGCACTTACTCCAACTAGAGTTAGGAGATTATGCTTTTTGGTTCATTAGAATCCATGGATGATGATGATCTCTTTATGTTCTAGCTCAAAGGAAATTATGGTACATTCTAAAGGCTTAGATTAGCTATGTGGTTTAAAAGAAATTACCTATTCAACCCGCATTGTTATTGGTGTTTGTGATAGTTTGGAATGAATAATCCCTCTATTACTATTGTTTGTTCAAGTGGAAGGTTAAAAAAGAGCAAAGGGTACCTCCAAAAGACAAGTAGTGGGAAAAGATATGGGGATTTATCGTTTCATTGAGGGTATGGCCTTTGATAAAACACACTGACGAACCATAATTCATGTAGCCGACCCCAATAGTTGAGAAAAGACTATAAAGATGATGATGATAATAATGATATGATGAAGATCAACATCCCGATTACCAGACGATTCTTTTCATGACTCATTGGTCAATATTTTAAAGGCTATTCAACACGTGTGCTCAAGCTCATTTCACCACTCGAATGTGATCCCTTCCAAATACTTACCTTAGTGATGAGTTTAGGATTTGAAACACATTTTAAGTCGCTTTATAAAAATTTTAATTTTACATCCATGAGTTTGCTGCTCAAAAAATAATCTAGCTTGGATTTGTGAAGAATTAACTAAAGAAAAGTATACAAAAATACCATTTACTTTTTATCTTTTTAAATTTCAAATTGAGTGGTCGTGAGTATGTCCATACTAGTTAAAAATGATGTTTTCGAACTTCGTGATATTGTTCGAGCCATTCAATTTGACATCTAATTGCTATTAGTAATTATTACCTCTTTATAAGAAAAACAAATGCTCTCATCCCTGACTAAAGATTCCAAAAGCAATTTGAATAAATTATTTTAAGATATATTTAGGGAAAATTACAAAAACCCCCCCAAAATGTACTATTTACATAAGTTACCCCAGCCAACCTTTCCTTTCACTTTTTTCCCCACAACAACTTTTCCTCTCAAAAACCCCCCAAGGTACAAAGTTGTTATTTTTTGGACGGAAATGCCTTTCCCATACAAAAAAAATTCAACTGGCGGTCCCAAGTTGCTTATTGTCGAAGCGTAAAATAACACTGTGGGAGCGCTTTGTAATGATTGCCAGATCGGAATAGGTACTGTCGGAGCACTGTGGCTCCAGAAGGTGTACTACTAGAGCGTCTTCATCTACCGCTGGAGCGCTGAAAACCCTGTCGGAGCGCCTTAATGCACTGCCGGAGCGCTGTGGCTCTACTGACCCTACTGTCGAAGCGCATTCATAGAGTGTCAGAGCGAAATGTCTCTTAAAGGTGTACTGCCAGAGCAAGATCATGTAATGCCAGAGCAAATTCGTCTACTGCCGGAGCGAACTACCACACTGTCGAAGTGCTGTGGCTCCATAAAGTGTACTGCGGGAGTGAATGTCTGTCGTCGGAGAGCGTTTTTGTACAACCGGAGCGACGTAATCAACAGCCAGAGTGCCCTGGCTCCAGAAGGTCTACTACCGGAGAGAGTTTTCGTAATGTCGGAGCACATTATCTACGTTGCCGAAGAGAGAGAGAGAGAGAGAGAGAAAGGCTGTGAAAAAGACTTATTTTTAGTTTTTTTTTGGTTAGGGGGTTTTTGTGAAGATAAGTTGTCAATAGGAAAAAAGTGAAAGGAAACGTTAGAGGGGGGTAAATTGAGTTTTGGGGGGTTTTTATAATTTTCACTATATTTTTAATTCGAAATTATTAGGGGTGAAATTTTGGGTGCCACATTCATCTCTAAATAAAAAACATATAGAAAGAAAAAAAACCCACTTTTTAAATACGTATGATAAGCGGTGGACCGCATTTGCGAACGTATGTGACAAAATTGAAGGATCGCGACGCCATAATGTTCGTACGTGTTTGATAGGGTGATCGGATCCTATACACGTGTGATCCCACTATAAAATCTTCACTGGTGCTTAACTGCAAGCCCCTCTTCCCACTGTTGTCTCAGGCACAGTCATCCATGGCGGCTGCTTCGCTCTCCCCTGTTGTAGCTACCTCCTCATCTTCTTCTAATGGGGTAAAAACCCCAAAGCTGAGTTCGAGATTGGGGTTAGGGTTTTTATCGTCTTCTTCTTCTTCCATTTCTAGGTCATGGCGTCAGCTGGTTTTATCCCCAAGTGCCTCAGGGAAAGGGGCCATTGGCGCAAGAATGGTGTCCATGCCTGCTGTTAAGCCGGAGAAGGCCTTGGACTTTGATACTAAAGTGTTTAAGAAAGAGAAGATCACCCTTACTGGTCACGATGAGGTGCTTTCTAAGCCTTCCTCTTTTTGATTGGATCTTCTCTATAGTTTTTATGTTTTGATAGTTTTTTATAATTGATTATGTTGTTGGTAAATGATTCCGGTTTTTTGTTTTTTTTGGGTCTTTTTCAGTACATAGTGAGAGGTGGGCGTGATCTTTTCCATTTGCTTCCTGAGGCTTTCAAGGGTATTAAACAGATCGGGGTTATTGGTTGGGGTTCTCAGGTGACTCTCTCTCTTTCTGTGTGTGTGTGTGTTTGTGTGTGGAGGAGCGTGCAGAGTGTGAAATTCAAATTACAAGAATGTGGGTTAAATTACTCTTTTATCTTTCTAGAAATTGAAAGTTAGGTTCTATCTATTAAATTTAATATCTTTTCTCATTTACTCCACCCCAGTAACTTAGTAAATATGAATTGTTGCTTGAAAAAATTGGGCGTTGCCAATGTTTCTGGATTACACATGTGCTTTCACCCCCATCAAATGCCTGCGATTTCATTTTTCATGCATTTGGCCATCAGTTTCTTATTGTCGAAATTTGTGCTCTTTCAGAACTCATTGCCCGGCTTGTTGCTGGTAGTTCTAGGAGGATTAGTTTATTCTGCTAGTCGTATTTCATGAGTCATTGGTCGATATTTCAAGTTGATGTGATAAGTGCGTCTTTTAGATACCCATATCTTTTGATTTGTGCAGAAAACTGTCTCCATGTTTGTTTCAAAACCTTGAATTGCCTTAGCTCTTTTGGTGGTGTGTGACATGTATTTTGGTTCCATTGTGTTAAGGTGATTGGATTACCACCTTATTTGTTACATATTTTGCTTGCTATTGATTTTGTTATGTTAATTAACATAACTTTTTTTATCGTTGCATAAGTGACTGGATGATAGATTTGTGGACATTCACTTTCCTTTTGTTATTGAGCCCCCAGTTGTATGTTTGCATTGTAGTTTCTACTGTTGAATGTTGCGCTAGATCATGAAGAGAAATTGGTAACTAGGGATTTTTTTTTTACTGTACCTATGAATCTATGACTGCCAAATACTCTTGAATGCTTTGCTGTTATATCAAAGTCTGCAAACTGTTGCCAATAGAAGTTATGCTTTTTTTTTTGGGTGAATAAATAGAAGTTATGTTGAATAAATAGAAGTTATGCTAAATTGTTAATATCTGCAAAGTATTTGACAACTGAATAAAAGATGTTTCTTCTGTCTTAGGATGGTGAACATCATCTGTATGCCACTAATATATAGTTGCTCCATCCTCTCATATTTGTCTGTGGTATTCTAATAGGACAAAATAGCACCTCTTCTTCATGGCCATTCTTTTTGCATTTAGTTTCTTATTTCGTCATGGGGTATGGGGGAGATGGGAGTCACCTCTCTCTCTCTGCAAAAAAAATATTAATCTTCTTTTGTTCCTCCCTTATGGATGCAGGGTCCTGCCCAGGCTCAAAATTTAAGGGATTCTTTAGCAGAAGCACAATCTAATATCATTGTGAAGGTCGGATTGGCACTTGTCATTTTCCTCTTTTCTTGCATTGCATTCCTTTTTTGTTGCATGATTCACTTGATCCCAATTTCTGATTTCTGACTGTGGCCTTAGGAAGTTAGTTTCTGGTGCATTCCTTATGTATTATTTCACTGTTTATTTTTATGTTAGCTGTTCTTGGTTAATTTGTTTGTTACTTTGTGGCTTTCCTTTTGTAGCTGTTATTAATGAACTGGCCCTTTTTTCATGTTATGACTTCCATTGTTACTAAGTAAGTATAAGGATTAATACACACACAGAAGGTTACTAGTATAGTTTCCTTAAAGAAGCCTTGCCCTGCTCTGAGTGGAAGTTTGGGATTTTTTATATTTGGAAGCAACCAGCTTTGACAAAGGTTTATTTTAGGTGGGACTATTAAAAATTCATCTTTGAGAAAGGTTTGCTTTTGAATGGGACTATAAAATATTCATCTTCGAGACTTCTCTTTCTGGATGCTCTGATGGCTGATTCTTCTCTTCAAGTTGTTACATGATTTCAGTCTATGCATACAATGGTGTCTGTTTATACTGGGATTGCAGGAGGCTGGTACAGTTTATGATGAATTGTTTTGGGCTAGAATATTTCATATCCATTACGAATGTATTGATCTTGAATCATGTTCTTAAAACCTCTTGTAGTCTCAACTCAAGCATTGTTTTAAATCATATGTGGCCTCATGCTACGGTATGCACCCCGAAACGTGTCGCAAGGGGCGGTATGCGCTTTTTTCGGATGCACCCGCATATGCACCGTATCCCACCGCATATGCAGCTGCATAGCGCATATGAGCATAGGTATTTTTGTCACACCCCCCCCCCCCCACCAACACACACACACATGTGAAAAGGGGGGGTAAAGGGTTTTGGGGGATATTAAAGCCCCCCAAACACAGAACAGCCATAAATGTGGCTGTTTATGGATCAAACAAAGAGGTAAACAATTGGCGAAGATTTTTCTTCAAAAAATTGTCGATTTGCTCTAGGGGTTGTTGGGTTGTGGATTGGAATTAGCTTGGGCGGTGTTTTGGAGAAGTTTGAGCATAGATTCATCAACATATTGAGGGTTTCAAAGGCCGAGAAGATATCAGAAACTTTTTGCTTTAGACTTTGTTACTTTAAAGTCTGCAATTACGAATTTGTGATTATGGTTTTTGGATGTTCATGAATTATGATAATATGATGTCTTCTAAGTTCTAATGTCTTCTATAAAGTTCGTTTCAAGTTTCTAGTTTCTATTTTCTATTTCTAAGAACTTCTATCAGGGGATTGAAAGTATCCAACAACTGATAATATTGGTGTTAATGAATAAATTAAATACCTAACATCACATAAATCACCTCCATATTTTTTCCATACATTAACCTATTTTTTGAGATTTTTTTGAGTTTCTTATATTTATTGACCGCATTGGGGTGATGCACCCTCATTGAGCCGCAGCCTCCGACCACATCAGGACCACATTCCGCATTTTAGAACACATTCTCAAGTTCTATACGCCAATTTAAAAAATAATATCTCATTATCTTATGACATTCGGGTTTTTCAAGTTAAAAAAAATAAAAAACTATGATTTTATCATATTCTGTTGTAACATTTTAGTTCATAATAACTACTATCATTATTAGAAAAAGTGTAGATTAACGGTCCTCTCATTTAATCAAACTAGCTAATAAAAATGCGGAATTTTGTTGTTGTAAGAAGTGTGCTATTGTTTTAAAATGTGGAGCAATTTATCTCTTTATAAATGGGGAGTTTTTTAAGAGCGGATCTTTTGGGATTGTTGATTGATACAGGTCGGTCTAAGGAAAGGATCCCGTTCTTTTGCTGAGGCACGCGCTGCTGGATTTACAGAAGAGAGTGGAACTTTGGGTGACATCTGGGAAACTGTTTCAACCAGTGACCTATTGTTAGTATTGATCTCAGATGCTGCACAGGTAGATATTTTTCTTTTTGGTATTGGATGGAATATTCACTTCCCATGTTTCCTTAAACTAACATAATTTTAGGAACTCTATATTTCTTTCTTTGTTATGTCTGATATGATAATGTTATTTTAGCCTGAAATCAATATTTGTGTATTTCTAATGTGCAATTATTTTATTTATGCAAATGTCATGAATCAGACATTTGTGGAAAGTTACTAAAGGGTGCTGAAGTTGTGTTTTTTTATTGCAGGCTGATACCTATGAGAAAATATTTTCTCACATGAAGCCAAACAGCATCCTTGGGCTGTCCCATGGCTTCCTACTAGGACATCTACAGTCGTTGGGCCTTGATTTCCCGAAGAATATCAGTGTGATTGCAGTTTGTCCCAAGGGAATGGGTCCATCTGTAAGGAGGCTCTATGTTCAGGGCAAAGAGATCAATGGTGCAGGAATCAATGCCAGTTTTGCTGTTCACCAGGTCTCTCTCTTTCTCTCTCTCTCTCTCTCTCTCTCTCACACACACACACACACACACACACACACCCCATATAGCATAACAAAATGGTCATGGCCTGTCTTTTTTCTACCTGTAGGATGTTGATGGCAGAGCTACAGATGTGGCACTTGGCTGGTCAGTTGCCCTGGGTTCACCTTTTACCTTTGCCACTACGTTGGAGCAGGAGTACAAAAGCGATATTTTCGGGGAGAGAGGTAAACTCAAATTCATGTTGCTTGTAATGCTGATGCCTAACTACCTCAGAAGATAAAAATATCTAAATTTCTGTACAATTTGTAGGCATCTTATTGGGAGCAGTACATGGAATTGTGGAGTCTTTGTTCAGAAGGTACACTGAATTTGGCATGAATGAAGAACTGGCTTACAAAAATACTGTTGAGAGCATAACCGGAATCATATCAAAGACTATCTCGACAAAAGTCAGTGCTTGGTTCTTTTGTAATACTGCCAACCATTTGCTTTCCTTCCATTTTATCCTTATTTTTGTTCTTGTGTTTCTTAAGTATTGGTTGGTTGGATTTGTTGGTAAGTACAATGTACTTACGTTGTGATACCTTTCTCAGGGTATGCTATCTATATACAACTCCCTCAGCGCAGAAGGAAAGAAGGAATTTGAGACTGCATACAGTGCTTCATATTATCCATGCATGGACATCTTGTATGAATGCTATGAAGATGTTGCTTGTGGCAGTGAAATCAGGAGCGTGGTATTGGCTGGACGACGTTTCTATGTAAGTTAGGACCCCAAAACTTTCTACACGCATTCTGCAATTGTGACTGATTTGGGCGATTCTTGGAATTTATTTTCTTTTTGAAGATTCTTAGAATTTTATGCCCAAGTCCTTACACTTTTGGGTTTTTGTGCTCTTTATAGACTTCTTGCAAGATGATTTTGGGATTTTAGAAAGGGTGCAGTTTGTATAAAGCCAAGGCTCTAAACAATCAAAGTAAAGCGCACCTTCAAATAGTGTTGAGAAATGTGATTTCTATACTGGAAATCTTTGTGTTAGCCTTAAAATATATTTTCATCTCTAATAATCTAATTATGAAATTTAAAGCTTAAAAAATAGTGTTGATCGAGCAGATCTATGAAAACTTAAAAATCTTGAAAATTGACGATCCAAAAATGTATTACAAGATGCACTATTACCAAAACTTGAAATCCATTTTTTCTTCATGTCCATGCATCTTGAGGTCGAGATGATCAATTTGAGCATCAAAACAACCTCTTCTAGTGAAATATTTGGGCATCAAAACAATCTCTTCTAGTGAAATATTTGAGGTGCTCCCTAATTCGATTGTTTAGAGCCTCACACTTATATAAACTTTTTTCCTTTATAAAAATGAGTAGCACTTATCTCAGTATAAATGAATAAAGGAATTTCCCTTTATTGGGAAAGTGATGACAAAAGCAATATTTGTAATTTGTGGAACATTAATTAGACAGATGAAAGATGCAACATGAAATGAAATACAAGGAAAACGAGATCATCGTCATCCATCAATTTCCTTTGCTTTTGCCCTTTTCCACTTAGTTTCTTGTACGCATGCTATGTTAACTCTCCCTCGCATAACTGTATTCATTAACTCCATACTCTAAGCTGTTAGAATTGCTACATTCCATGTGGCTAGACGAATTCCAAGAGAATAGGATTTGTCGAGTCACATGGAATGTAGGAACTCTAACAGGTAAGAGTACGGAGTTAGTAGATACAATGAGGCGAAGTAGAATTAACATAGTATGTGCCTATAGGAAATTAAGTGGAAAGAGGCAAAAGCTAAGGAAATTAATAGATGATGATGATTGCATTTTCCTTATATTTCATGTTGTTTATTTAATCTCTATAATTAATGTTTTACAAATTATAATAGTCTTGAAACGAGAATGGCACAAATCTTGTTCTGCCATTCTGCTCTATCAAGGGCTATACCCTCAGTAAGACCATAAGTCCCCTTATCTTTCACACTACCTCCATCCATATCTTTTTGGGGTTTCCCTTGCTCTTTTAGAGCCTTCTACGTGAACCAAATCGCACCTCCTAATGGTGTTGTATTGGATCTGCATTGTGCATGGCTAGCCCACCTATGTCTACTTTCCCTCATCTTGTCGCCTATTGGACACTCCTAAGTTCCCTCTGATATATTTATCATTTCTTGTTAAAAAAAAAAAATATTCATTCCAAAAGTGTTGAAAATGAGAGATGAAAAGAGAAGTGTTGAAAAACTCGGGAAGTTCATTTGGACTTGCCCGAGTCACTCAGGCTTGGTGAGGAACTTCCATGCTCAAGTAGGGAAGGATACTGTACACAAACTCGCTTGAGTTACTGTAGTATCTTAGGCTAGTAGTCGAAAATCCCATGAGTTTCTAATACTTCATCAAGTTGGTTAGGACTAGTGGAGTCCTACCTGTCTTTTTTTTCACAGATAAAAGGGGAGAGGAAAGCCAAACCCTTTTTATACTATTGCTTTTCAACTAGGCATCCGTTACTCTGAAATTAGGGTTGGGTCATTTTTGCATCCTCTGTCAATTAGAAGGATCCAATTGGAGAGATAAACAACAAATTTGACAGATAGCTCGATCTTGGTTGAAATGTGTTACTTACGCGTATTCTTTAGTTATTTATAAGTCATAGGCTTGTCTTCAAACATAAGCCACTCAAAATCTTGGATTTGCGAGATTATCATAATCAAAACAGTATTTGGCCAAAAATTTCTTGAGCTTGCATCCACTAGATCTGAACTTGAATCTCAAATCTGGTTCAGGGGTTCCAATTTCAGGTATTTGGGGACCCTTCGACAAAGATTTGAGGCTTCATTTGCACCGAATGCAAAGATTGGAGGTTTGGCCTTGAAGTTTGGTTTAGTGAAATTGGTTTGATTTCATTTAGTTAAAGTTTCATATTCTATTTTTTTTGGATCTTACAATGTTTCCTACTTTTTGGGGGTATCTCATGGGCATCTTGCCCAACTCAGACTGGAGCCGGGGAGTCCACTTAGGACTCACCCAGTCAATCCTTTTTGTGCCCTGGCTGAGTCACCAGGAGTAAATTTAGAAAATGAGCAAACTTTTAGTTTTGGGAAAGATCCAAGAAACTTCTTTTATATAATACAAGTACTTTTCTTGATAAAATATAATCAACATACTCGTACTTATGCAGTTAACAAGAAGGTACCTAGATATCCTAGATATAATCTATGAAGCATTTGCTTATTTCGAACAGTCCGCTTTTGCTTTGATGCAAGATTTCCATGCTATACCTGTATATGTTTCAAGAATGAACAAGTTGGCTTCTAGCTTATCTAAGTTGGATCATATAAGGTCTTTGATGTTATGTAGGAACCAAAATATAAGGGTTACAAAAAGAAAAATTTCGTCTATGATGAACTACACTGTTTGCTTCTCTTTAAAAAGAAGTTTCAAAAGCTGTGGAGTGTATCTGAGATCTGCAATGGGGTTGACATCTCAAGTGACTTGAATTTGTTGGGCTTTCTTATCAGGAAAAGGATGGACTACCAGCCTTCCCCATGGGTAAAATTGATCAAACTCGAATGTGGAAAGTCGGGGAACGAGTGCGATCAGCCCGGCCTGCAGGTGACTTGGGTGCCCTCTACCCCTTCACTGCAGGCGTTTATGTGGCATTAATGATGGCACAGGTGAGAACTCTTTGGGATGCCTCTTCACAAATTTAGGCAAATGCCAATGTATTATAATTTGGTCGAAAGCTATAATTGAGGCCACTGGCTGTTCTCTTCCTCAGATTGAAGTTCTGAGAAAGAAGGGGCACTCGTACTCGGAGATCATCAACGAGAGTGTTATTGAGGCAGTGGATTCTTTGAACCCTTTCATGCATGCACGTGGGGTCTCATTCATGGTTGATAACTGTTCAACAACAGCACGTTTGGGAGCTAGGAAGTGGGCTCCTCGCTTTGACTATATCCTCACTCAGCAGGTCTCCCACTCTCTCTCAAACACACACATTCTTGTTACCCATTGTCTTTTATATCCTCACATTCCTACCACCCACTTGTCTCTCTTTTGCATAATTTCCAATTACCCACGCATTCTCACATTCCACCCATCACCCAAAAAACCAATCATCTCTCATCTATATTGCAAATGTAATTTTCAGACTTTTGTGGCTGCGGACAAGGAAACTCCCATCAATCAAGATCTCATCAGCAATTTCTTGTCTGACCCTGTACATGGGGCCATTGATGCCTGTGCACAGTTGAGGCCCACTGTTGACATATCTGTGACAGCAGATGCAGATTTCGTGCGCCCTGAACTACGCCAGTCAGGTAACTAAGACTTGGGTGTCACCAGTCAGGTAATTAAGATTTGGGTATCTGTGGTGACAGAAGTGTGGAGAGGTACAGAGCATTTTGTGATGAAAAAGCCTCTCGTACGTTATAGAGTTTACTACGATCCGGTAATGTATGTGATGATTGGGTAGGTAGAAGAATTGATCCTAATGGGACAGATCTGTGTTGTTCCTTGAGCTATTTGTATTGATTGGAATTATCTATATGCAGTAACTATTAGTTCATTCGAAGCAAAACATATGCATGAGTTCGAATGTCGATAAAAGGGAAATGGAGATGCGAACCTTTCAATGACTAACAAGACCTTGTAATAAGTGCGGAAATGAGTTAGTTTTAAGAAGACAAGGATATTGAATAAATTATTGTATTATTCACGATAAGTACTAGTATTTTATTTTATTTTTCTGAATTAAGAGAACATGAAGCTTAGACCTTAGTTGGGGCACAAGTGCTGCTGCCACCACGACCCCCACCCCATTCTCGGTGGATCTTTGCTTGGGCAAGAATGATCACATGTTGATAGTTGCCTTCACAGAAAGGTGGGACTCTAAGACCAAAAGGCCCTACCCTCCCAATAACATTGGCCAAATGACACCCGCATTCTATGACTTGCAGAGGATTCTAGGTTTGAATGTGATGGGAGATCCTGCCACAATTGAAAATTGCCAGCCCTATCTATGAGTGGCAGAGAGATTATCACTAGGGAGTCAATTACAAATGGTTGAAGAAGAAAATTTACCAAACAATGCTCAAAAAATTTACTCGGCCAAGGTACTCGGCTCTTGGAGGGCTCTTGGCCTAGCCGATCTACTCGGGTGAGTCCGAGTAGCTCGGGTGAGTCCGAGTAGCTCGCTTGAGTAGAGTTTGAGTTTTAAAAATACAAAATCAACATATAAATTAGATATATATAATATGGAAAAAGTTGACATAAGGATGTAGAACTATGGATGCTCCTAAAAAATCCGTCGGAAAAGGTGGTTTTAATGTTGAAAAACCCTTTAATTGTTCATCTTGACATCAAGATGTATGACTATGAAAAATAAAAAGATTTTAAGTTTCATAAATAATACATTTTACAACATATTATCTATGCTGTCTATGCTTTAGTTTTTCATAGGTTTATAAATCTATTTGATTTTTAACTATTTTTGAAATTTAAAATTTTATAATTAGATATAAAAATAGATTTTGAGATAATTCAAATAACATTTTACATCAAAGTTATATATCATGATAAAATTTAAATGTGTAACCGTACCTCTATACCTACATAGGCGTCCATATGCTACCTATATAATATATATTTCACTTTTTATAACACTAAACATCGAATGTCATGATGGTTAGTGCTCATGCATGATACGTCTTATGTTTAAATCCTTGTTTCATCTAATTTTTGTTTTTTGTTAAAGAAATAAGATAATGTAACAATACATATATGACTCGCCTTGCACTTTTGTTGATAAATTATTTGGTGATGTGTTGGGTATGGCACGTACTCATTGAGTAAAAGGTGTTGGGTATGGCACTTTTGCGCACTACTGGTTGTTTGAAGCAACCGAGAGTACCATCAGGATATTCAACTGTATTTTTGCTCCCATAAAAATTAGTGTGGAACCATTTTTTTATTTTTTGTGAGAGTCAGTGGGGAGAGGGTCCCGACCTTTAATAGGAATTGAATTTAGGATGTAGTGTTGTAAAAATATTATTTTGAAATATATTAATATGGTACTTGGAATTTATAAATTTAGTATTTAAATCATAATTTCTTGACCTACTCTACCAATTTGATTCGCTTAGCCGTGTTATCAACATATTGTTCATATTTCTGGATCCAGTTTTATAATAAGGAAATTCAATGTGATATGAAACATGAGATGGGAAAAGTATCAAAAGAAAAAAAAAAATAAAGTTCCCAATTTTTGGTTCAACAAAAGTGACAAAGTCATTTATCCTTCAAGTGTTAATTAAAACACGCAAGCACCACTTTGGCCAAGCATTGGACCATAAAAAAAAAGCAAAAAAGATAGTATGAGGTCCCCTTTTTCTTGAGATTTTACTATTTTGATTTTACTCCATATTTTTATTTTTTCAATTTTATTATATTTTAGGGCTGCTCGAAGTACCGAACTGCCCAAATCCTAGGTTGGTCCGATGTTAGAAACATCGGACTATGGTAAAATTAGATATTGAGGTCACATTGGCCTAGTTAGATATTTCAAATATCGGATAGCTCCTCAGTACTAATTCCTTTTTGAAGTTCTAAGTAGTCAAATATTTGTGATACTGCACTGTATTAAGCACAATTTTTTCGACTTCTTACACGATCTAATATTGTCGATATTGAACTTCTTCATGTGATAAAAAGCCGGTCTTATATTTGAAGGGTTATGTTAGGGTTCTCACATTATGGAGTAATTTATCATTGTATTCAATAAATTTTGGACACGTCTACCCTTGTTTTGTACATGGAGCATGTTTTTAATAAGGGTATTTTTGGTAATTAGGAAGGATGTGACATCATCTACATGAAGTGCAATATCACCCATATAAAGTACACTAGTGGCATTTAATGCTTTATGTGGGTGATGATACAACCCATATAGATGACGTCACACGTCTCCTAATAACAAAAAATAACCCTACTACAAAAAGCTCTGTGTACAAAACAAAAGTATATAAGTGTCTAAATTTATTGAACACAATGATAAATTACTTCATAGTATCAATATCCTATCATAACCATATTTGAAACATCATATAAGTATTTTTTCAAAAAAAAGAACAATATGATGTGTCAATCATGGAAACAAAACAAAAACATAGTGCTTGTCTGAT